GAGAGAGAGAGAGAGAGAGAGAGAGAAAGGAAGAAGATAGCCCCACACAGGACTGGCTGTGCTGTACCATCCGAATAAAAATAATAAAAATAATAATAATTAAAAAAAAAATATCATGGAGTGGAGTTTGGACACTGGATCACTTTGTCTGTCTTTGGTATTAATTCAAAAGCTGCTAGCGATGCATAGACCTCCCCGGCCTGCGCCCCCCCCTCCCCAAGAAAGGGGCGCTGTACTGGTTCCAGCCAGGGATGAGATTCCACACTCCCCTCCGCAAAAAAGGCAGAGGGGAGGAGGGGGGGTCCCTTGCCCCTCCATGGCCAGTTTGCAGAGCCGTTTTTCCTTCTCCAAGTGTGTCTTCTTTCCAAGGTTTCTTTGGAGCAGTTTCCCCACCCTAATTAAAACAAAAAAAAACCACCCCGCCGAGTCTTTATTTCCTCCACCCACCCCCCCAAATACGAATATTTTAGCAGATTTCCACACGGCCTCTTGGTGGGGGGGAAACTTCCTTCTTCGGTGAGATGTCCGATGGCGGAGAATCCAGGCGTTACGAAGGGGGCTTGGGGGCATCGCCCAGCGCCAAGAGAGAAGTCCCATTTTCCTGCTTGGGGGAGACCCGGCTGGGGAGAAGCGTCCCTCCGAAGGGGGACGAGGCCACGCTTCCGGTGGAGGGTGGGCGAAGCTCCGCGGGAGGAAGGTTGCAGTCGGCGGGTCGCAGGCCGGGCGGCTGCAGTGGGAAAGCCACCGGGAAACTGGCCATATACAACACCCGGCCCACCCTCTTGGCTACCTGGAGGAAAAAACGGCAAGGAAAGCAAATTGAAGCACCTGGGAGGTGTTGTGACACGCCAGCGACCGGTGAGGAGGTTGGGGAGGAAACTGGGCCAGTCCTGGAGGCTGGGGAAGGCTCTGGCAAGGGCTCTGCGTCGGAGGCAGAGATGGGGCCAGGGCCGGTGGGTTTTTTTGCAGACCTTTCATGACCCAACTAGGTAATATCATCAGCGCACTGATGATGTTACTTACTTGGGTCACGAAACGTCTGCAAGAAAAGCACCGAGCTCACAAATCCAATTTGGACATGATGCTGTGGTCTAAGCAAGCAAACCGAAGGTTGCAACATGGAAATTCAACGTGTGTGTTTGTGCGTGCATAGTGTGTGTGTGTGTGTCTCTGAAAAGAGGCCCAAAGTCTTGGCTGCAGAGCCAGGGATGCCTCTTGGGCCAAAAGGAGAATCTCCAGAAATTTGGGACTCGGAAGGATCGGCCACAACCATCGCTCTTCACCCCAAACTTCCAAAGCAGCCTTTTGTGTTCCCGCCCGAGTCCTGCTGTGCCTTCTTGGGTCTTACACCTGAACAGGTGAAGGGGCCCCGGGAAGTGCCACCCTTCAACGCTTGTAGGTGAGGGGGGGGGGGGCTTCCAGGTGATGTCATACTGCTTGTACCTCAAACGGTGCCTTTTTCCGGCCTGCTCTAAATAGTTGCAAACTACGCACAGAGCAATAAACATTGTTTACCAATGCAACCCCCTCCCCTTCTTCTCCTGCCCACCCAATTTCCCCTCCCCCACTCCTAGACATTTGTTTTATTGTGTTAAACCGATCAGGGCAGCATTATTACTTCGCCCCCAAGCCTGGGCTCTTTACGAGGGACCTCATAAAAAGGTTCTTTGGGCCATGGTTCCCTGGGGAACGATTCGTGCTGGAAATAACCCCGATTCGGAGAAAGGAGGGAGAACCAGTGTAATCCTGTGAGAGATCTACAGGATCTAAAACAAGCTGAAAAGGGAATCGGTCTGGTTTTGTTGAGGGGAGAGGGACAGGCAAAGGGATGGGGGTGGGATTTGGAACCAGAGCATTTAAAGAGAGAAATAAAGAGGTCAAAAAATAATCAGGAAGCCCTTTTTATTGGCACGCAGAGACTGGCTCAAAGCACCTGCACAGGTGTGGTTTTTAACAGCACACAAGGAGACACTGGGATTGTGGGGCACTGGGCACAGGCCTTGAAGGTTTTGGGGTGCACCTTAAGATATAAAGGGAGGCCCTTCCAAGGTTTAGACCCAAATGCCTTATCCCCCTGGGCAGCAACTCCAGACTGGATCCATGCATTTCACAAAGCTGTGGTTGGTTAAAGCAGGACGGACTGGTTAAACCACAATGAAGTAGACATCAGCAGCCTGCTAAAGCCAGCAATAACAATTTAGGTGTGGCAAGCACCGAAGTAAGCAAGCCACCTTGGCTGTGGGTTCACAGTAGTAACCTGGGTTACTATTCAATGGTCAGCCTTTAGCTCAAGGGTCTTCAAACTTGGCAAGTTCAAGACTTCAAGTTCAAGACCTCCAAGCATGTTTGGACTCCAGGAATTCTGGGAGTTGAAGTCCACAGGTCTTCAACTCCCAGAATTCCTGAGCTAACATGACTGGAGGAAGGATTCTGGGAGTTGAAGTCCACCAGTCTTGAAGTTGTTGAGTTTGAAGACCTTTTTAGCTCAACAGAGTAGGAGATCTCCAACCTTGGCTACTTTTAAGACTTGTGGACTTCAACTCCCAGAATTCCCCAGCTGAGGAATTCTGGGGGTTGAAGTCCACAAGTCTTAAAAGTGAACAAGGTTGGAGACCCCTGCAACAGAGGATGGTACAATCCAACTGGCGGTGATCAGATTAATCTCCAATGTTTTCCCGCTTAAATAACTCAAATAAATAACTCAAATAAATAACTCAACTTGTGTACCATAAGAGAAACTTGAATCATGCCTAGCCCTTCTATCAGCCACATTTCTGTTTTCAGAGAATTTGCTGTCCTTTTTGTTAGAGCAGCATTGCAAAATGTAATTTCTCAAAATGTAATTTCTCCCATTTTTTAACCAGGCCAGCTAAAAACTTGGAAGCCAGATTTTCCGGGCTTAAGGATCTTGCAAAGTTTGCAAACTCAAGAGAAGAGATTCTCGCTCCTAAACGGGGTTAAGTCACCTTGATTGTTGCCCAGAGTTTTAAATTTTAAACTGGGCCCTGTTCTATTTTTTTTTAATGACCTCCTTTGCTTGCTTCCTAGTTTCTTCATTCTGTTGGGATTTTATTTGGGATCACTGCATTTTATTAGGCACTGCCCAGAGTGCTTGGGCTATATTGGGCAGCTTAAAAATAAAAGAGTCAAAAAGAAAGTACATTAAACTACAAGGATAAATATAAAAAAATTAAAAAAACAACACATCCTAAACTTAGTTGCTGCCTTGGCTGGAGATATCGTGCCAACTCAACCGCTGTGGGTTTATGAACCGTGGTTTACGGCTCAGCACATGGATAACAACAAACCAGTGGTTCTTCAACCTTGGCAAAATGGTGTGCGCCAAGGTTGAAGAACGCAGAGTTAAGCCATGATTTAAGCCCGGTGTACATCTTAAACCTTTGCTTTTTGAAGAGATCCTCCCCCAGAAGAAGAATGAGCCACTGCTGATAAACCAGGGAGCAAACGTGGATTTGCATTTTCCCCACCAGACAGAAACCATTAGCCATGTTATGTACGTAGTGTGAGAGTGTAGCTGATTTTTCTTTTCGTAGGCTTCCATTTAAATTTTACTTCGAACTTACCTGTGACCTTATTTTCAATGCCGGGCCTAGTTTTAAGCCCATGTGGTTGAGTAAATGCTCTTCGGTCAAGAGTGGCAGGGTCTCGCCATCGATGGCCTGTTCCCGGAAGACCTGCCAAGAAGCAAAAACGGGGCTGCAACTTTGCTAGAAATGGACAGACGCAATTTTTTTCCCCTCCCAAACACGGCGTTGTGTCTATATACTCCAGAGAGTTGCAATGGTGAGATGGGCCTGCGTATAAATCAGTGTTAAATCACTTAAAGATGGATGGACTCCAACTCCCAGAATTCCCCAGCCATGAAGCTTTAAGATGGATGGACTCCAACTCCCAGAATTCCCCAGCCAGCAGGCATTAAGATGAGTGGACTCCGACTCCCAGAATTCCCCAGGCAGCAGGCATTAAGATGGATGGACTCCAACTCCCAGAATTCCCTAGTCAGCAGGCATTAAGATGGATGGACTCCGACTCCCAGAATTCCCCAGCCAGCATGCTGACTGGGGGATTCTGGGAGTTGGAGTCCACGGGAAACCTCGCTTTCCAGGTATCTCTAGTTTTTCAAATGCCACTCAATTAAATACTATCTATAAATACTCTAGCAATGTTATAGTGTGGGCTCTATTGCCTAATCTTCTAATTGCTCTACTTGAACAGTAACATAGTTAAATGTTTTTTATTTTAAACGCGAGTGCTTCAAGTGGAAGAAACAGGTTTCACCTTTTAAAAGCAAATGCCTACCAAGGGGAAAACCCTGCCAAGGGATGGTTCTAACCTCCAAGATTACATTGCATTACATTGACAGAGTCGGAAGGGACCCTGTAGGTCATCTAGTCCAACCCCACCGCCCAAGCAGGATGCCCTACGCACCATGCTTCCTGTGCTGCTTGCTTTCTATTTGCAAGGAGAAGCAGCAAAGGCAGTGAAGAGAGGCATTCATCAAACAAGGGCAGGAGACCAAATCTGACCAGATTTCCAAGGCAGAACTTTTTTCCTTTTGAGCAACCCTTCTTCTGCCCAATTACTCCCTCCTTTGCATTTTATATCGCGTGGCTGTTTAGAGTGAAAATTTCGTGCAAAATCTCGGGCCTCCTCCTTTCCCAGAGACCCAGAGACGATTTTTTTTGGGGGGGGGGGAGAATCAGCTGTCTTGAATACAGAAATTCTCCCCCCCCCTCCACCAATCTCTCTTCTTCCCAGCGCAAAACCCTCCAGCACGATTTTATTTCACAGTTCGCAAGGAGCTGCGGATTTCAGGTAGCTGAAACATTAAGCAGATATATTTTTTTTCTCCCCATTTGGATTTCCCCTGTGGGCCCAGGCCTCCTTTCAAAAATAAATCCCAAATAACAAAACGCAAAAGCTTGATGATGGGGTGGGTGGGTGGATAATAAAAAGACTCAAATCCATGCAAAGCAATGTAGATAAATAAGTATTGTTCTTTTAACAGTAGCATAGTAAGTAACGAATCAGTAAATTAGCTACAGATAATATCTACGGTAAATGAATTTAACTGTTATTAAATGACACGTACACTGCTATGATATCACTGTAAAATGTGGGAACTTGTTTCTATTTTTTAAACTGTTGAAACTTTGAATGAATTTTTTTTTTTTTAAAAAAAGACTCAAATCCTTTTTAACTTGCTTGCACAGCAAATGCAACACTCAGTGCCACCGTTGCTCTAAATCTTTCCCACCGTCTTCTCCAAATTTTCCTGCAGATGCACCCGGGTTTGATGGATGTTTGTGGGCCAGGATCGATGGCTTTTCGCCCTCCAAAAGGACGCTGTTTTTATTTCCCTGCGCCCCAAAGATCTGGGGCGGCAGAGGGACCAGAGCAAGGAGGCGCGCGCACACACACACACACACACACACAAAACCTCAATTTGCACAGCCTGCAATTTTGCACGAGCAACACGCTGGGTTGAAATGGCACATTCTCTGCGTGAACTTGTGGCGAATGCCACGGGTGTTATTCCAGGAGAAATGGCCCAAGAGGTTTGTGCCAGAAGGATTATAATGATGGATTGACCGTCATTCAGAACGTGCAGTGAGGTTTTCTTTGAAAAAAAAAACGAAACAAAAAGAAAAGAAAAGAAAAACCAAACTGCCCAGAATACTATTCTCTGGCTGAGTGGATATGAATGAACATAATAAGGATTAAGGGCTCCTTGGGAAACGCCAAAGTAACTTTCTCACCGAGTTCTCAAAATTTGGGATGTTCAGGATAGTTCAGGGAAGGAAGGTCTGGAGTGAGGAGACATAGAAACAAGCCAATTTTTTCTTTCTCACCAAGGAACATAAAATTTGCTAAAGTCTCCCTGATTTCCAGAGTTTTATAAGCAGTAATTTGCAAATCTAAACCAGGCTGCCCTCTTTTTCGGAGAGCCTGGCCAACCCTGCAGGGGTGTTAAGAAGGCCACGTCGAAAACAAGCAATAGTAAATTGTTCTCTACGTTTCTGGTAGTCTTTGACTTAACAATCATTTGCTTAGTCACTTTTATCATTATCTTCTTTTAATGACCCCCATAATCCCTTACGAGATGCAGTCTGGAGCTGAGTGTTTTACTGGCTGGATGCCTTTCCTGTCGCCAATGCGGAGTTTTTGTTCGGCCAAAATATTCTCATTGTGCCCAGAGAGAGAAAAATCTGCCTCTAGCTAGGATCGAACTCACAGCCTCCCGATTGTGAGGCAATCAATCCTAATCATTTGTTTAGTGGTCTGTTCAAATTTACGACGGCACTGGAAAAAAAATTCTCACACCTGGAACCGTTGCAGCATCGACACACCATCCAAATTCAGACTCCTATTTATGACGGTTGTGGTGTCCCAGGGTTACGGCATCACCTTTTTGTCCTCCCGATAGTGGGGAAGCCCGATTTACTTAACAACCGTGTTGCCAGCTTAGCAACTGTGGTGATTCGCTTAACAACGGTGGCACGAAAGGTCGTAAAAACGGGACAAACCTCCACAACTTGGTCTTGTGCTTAGTAACAGGGGCTCAATTCTGGCCTACAGTGCCAGAAACATCACAGAATCTTAACGGTGTGGGTTTTAATGGTCAGAGATGAAGGCGAAGGTGGGATGTGGGGATTGTTCAGTTGGGATAATAAACTAAGATGAACTTTTAAAACAGCCTTTATTTTTCACCAGACTCTCCCAGTTCAGACTAGCTTTGGCAATTCACGCCCCCCTTTAAATTATTTTTGGCAAAAAGAAGTCGCCCAGCTGCCTCGTTTCACACATCCTTGGCTTACAAAACCAGGATTTGCTGGCTTCTGAGCTAAAAGCAAGTCACGAGAAGTCTCGCCACCCTCCATGAATCCAGCTCTTACGGGGTTCACGTAGGTAGCTGGAGGCTGGACTAGAGCAGTGGTCTCCAACCCGTGGGCGGGACTAGATGACCTCCGAGGTCCCTTCCAACACTAGTCATTCTTAACACTTAGGAAAACGGGGAAAAGCGGCCCGTAAAACTGCCAGTAGACAGTTGAATTCCCATCTCAGTTGGGGAACCTTT